TTAATGTCACCACAATTAAAATCTGAAATGTACAAAATTTAGCTGTTTTGTTTTTGTTATATTTGAGGAATTTTTCTCTTTTTTTTTTTTTGCTCTTATTCCAACTTTTTTAATCCACTTTTACACTTCACATTTTATCTGTGTATTTTACTTGTTTGCTGCCTCTGTGGATAAATATTTAATTTCATATTTTCCCCCAAATGGATCACAGCAGTTCAAATTTCTAATTTCTTTCTTGATACCAAATATGCACATATAAAAAAAAAAGAAGTAAAACAGTTGATTGATAACATTGAGGAAGATCAGGACATCAGAACAGTGTCTTTTCTTCGACCATGTACTGTTCCATCTGTCCAGGATTGATAAGCAACAAAACACATGACTTAAAATGTTAATAAAATGAAATACACACCTGTGATAAAACACTTCATATTATATTCAAATATTCAAAGCAAAAAAAAAAAAAATAAAATAAAAAAAAAAAAATAAAAATCATTTTAAATAAATACTTTCATACACAACATACTGGTTTATCAAAAACACAAATATTTGGCAAAAAAAAGCAAAAATAAATATGCTCTCTCCAATGCTGTGTAATAATTAAATTTTGGGAGGGCTGATATTTTGCTCATGTAAAGGTTAAATTGGGGTTAGTTCACTGGGATTAAATTTCATGCACAGTTGCCGTAAACAGGAGAGAATGTTTACACATCAACTTCAATAAATACAGACATACATCATAGATAATTAGAGAAACTGATTCACTGTCAATCATGTGACCTTCAATGGCCACAATTACAGCAAAAATACATTCTCTGTGAATATTACTATATACAAGTCCCGTTTCCTAGTTTGCTGAGCAGATTCAAGAAATTCACAAGCATTAATGACGACTGAACTAATAAAATAAACATGGTTTTGTTTTATGTATATCTGTTTGTAAAAATCAATTTGAAATGAAATAGAGCTCTTTTGATATCAATAAGGAAGGAAACATGACAAATCTGTGTGATTATTATGTGCTGAAATATCTGGAAGCAACACCAGACAATGGACATTTTAACTTATAGCACACATCAGATGTCAGCCATAAGTCCAACAACAAGTCTGGGGAACGTGAGCCTTGGGATATGAATTACCCCATCTGTTTACGATCTGATGGTGTTAGTATGTTCACATGGGTTTTACTCTACAAGAGAAGAAATCACGTGATTCCAAATTACAACGCTATCTGTTACCATAGACTTGCTCTCCTAGACGATGCTTCATGGATTTTTCATCTACTCTAACAAACATTATGAAGTAAGTTACATATGTATTCAATATTTCTTGTCAACTGATTGAAACATATGAAGTAATGCTATCAAATCAAAACAAGATGCTCTACATAAAATGGCAGGGGTTTAAAAAATACAAAAAAAGAAAGCGAAATTCTTTGGACACATAGGAATGGTTCTTAACAGATCATGATAAAAAATTATGTACTACACTTAAGAAATGACAAGTGCTGCTCTAACAAGTAAATGTGAGGTACTTTCTAGTTGTATAATTTCACAACGGAATATCGCCACGATGTGTGTTCATACACAGAAATTAAATTCTACTGTTGTTTCTGTATTGTATCCATGTATGCTGGAATCTTCAGGTTTTGATTCACTGTGAAATGTTGCTGGGCACCCATTTCTTATTGCACATCATCTATAATGACCACAAATACATAAACACTAAATCGCCCAGGAACATTTCTAACAACGAAGCACCAAATGTTATCTTTCACCAAGATTAAGAGAACATCATTTTTCAAAACAAAAGAAGAATTCAAATTTTATCATGATTTTTTCTGAGATTTAAACTTACCATAAAAAACCTAAGTTAGATATCTAGTTTTACGACATCTTCAATGACCGTGAGAATAGCTGAATTAAATTCACCCAAATATGATGTACTATATGGTGCCCCATCAATATAATGCTGTATGTAGGAACCATTATTTATGTTCTCAGAAAAATCTATCTATAACTTACCATAGATTGATTATTATGACTTAACAAAAAAAAGCTTAAACAAATTAGTTGTCGTTTTAATTGAGATAAATATGATGCTTACAAACTGATTATATACATAACTGACTGTAGTATAGTCGCTTTGGATAACATTAAAAAAAGGTACAGACTAAACTAGTATGGCATGAAAAAGAATTTTGTATGATATATATACAAGCGTATTGATTGTAGATAAGAGATAAGTAATAAAGACAGTGTAAAATCATTATTTTTCATGGGGGTTTTATTTTCGCCAATTTCATGTGTTTTATTAATCTATAAATTCATCTTTCCATAAAACAACATACAGGTAAAATTCACATCATTTTAGGACCATTCCAGGAAAAAATTCCCCATCCCAGAATGCTTTGTAGTAACAGGTAGGAAACCAAAACATGAATAGAAGTGATTTTTTTTTTGAGTCCTGGGGTCACGTAGATGTTTTACTGGAATAGCTTTTAATAAGTATTACATGTATTTGTCAACAAGACAGGGTCAATCAAACTCTTTAATTTAACCCCATGAAAATTACTGATTCAAAAGCAACTGGACAATGTGACCCTGCAAGTATATAAACATACAGAGGGTATATTCTGGAATGTAGAAAAAATGTTAGTATGTTGAAACAATAAAAAAAAAATCTAAGTAATAAAACAATAAATCAGACACACTTCCTTTCCTTTCTACAAATTTGACCCTCCCACACCCTTCCCTCCCTTCTGTGGTAAATGGCCTGGGCTATACAGTGTACTGTGACTCATAGACTTGGACCACTGGACTAAACTGTAGGGGCACCAGCCACCAACAAGGATGACCTGTAAATCAAATACAATAACATGATTAAAGAGATATGCTTTCTCACTAAGGCATATAAAAGACAATTACTCTAACATTCTCCTGGATCAAAACATCCAATATACATGTAAAACTTTTGAGACTATGATTACCAGATATTAACTTAACAAAAATAAAACAAAATGAAGGAAAATGGGTTGTTTTTTTGCCCCTGACCTGCTCAGGTCTTTAATTTGCAATCTACTGCTCAAATTTTGCCTGATTTAAAACTACGATGCCAACAACATTCAATAAATAATAATTCAGATAAACCTCTCTCCCATGAAAAAACATCATGACCAAAAATAAGGATGGAATTTATTTAAAAGCAGTTGAATATTAAGTCATAAACAACATCCAAATTCACATTTTAAAGATATTTAAGATGTTCATTTTCACTATATTTTACATATAGTTTGAAAACTATTTTGAAACACAAATAAAAAACACACAAGACAGATAGTAGGTATACTGAACAGTAACAAGATTTACCTCCCTTTATGGTATGTAGTTTCAAATTGATCATTATAGTTGCAATTCTAAATCACACTACAAAAACTGAAAATTTACCTCGACCAAACACTTCCTGCATTAGTGCATAGGATGATTTTTTCTGTCGCCTTGGACCTTCTTTTTTCACTTGTTCTACTGCTGTTTCATCACTTAATATTGCCCCCATCTACACCAATAGAAACAAAAGACTGAAGCCACATAATAAAAAATGAAGTTTCATTATTAAGAAATCATTTTTCTCAGAAAAATACCCACATAATCAGTACAGTAAACATAGTAGAGGTGTTAATTTCACTATTTTAATAGACAAACTGTAAGTGTTGGGGTTATTTCCCCAATCAACGTACCTTCGCATATTTAATGTATATTTCAGTATGCAAGCAATTTCATATTGCACACCAGACACAAAATTTTATCAAAGGGCAATAACTCTCTAACTGTTGTAAAGAGCAAGTAACAAATTGATACGCGCAGATGAAATTTATGTTGTTAAATGATTTCTGCGTATTAATGTAAATTTCATTATGCATATCATCATAACGGTACAATGTTTACCTTTACTTGTGTGGGTAATATCACTTCCAGAAAAATATCATAATAAGCCGGATATTATAATACATAAGTGGAAATTACATCATTGCTCTGTCATATTGAAGTCTACAACACAAAACCTTTCAATATGTATGCAGAATGCAATAAAATTAAATTGCATCATACACATGTGCTGTCAAGGATTTGGGTGTGATGTTGAGAACAAAGAATGAAATAAAAAAAAATTAGGTCAAAATAGAAGTCTGAAGGATCAGATGTTTTTTCTATTTGTTTCAAAGTAAAGAATCTAGGAAAATATTCCCCATTCTAACATGTACTTACAAGCAAAATACAAATCTGATATATCAAAGACAAATTTATGATTTATATGCACAGAAATTTAGGGTACAATCACACATACCTGATCACAGCCAATCGCAATCACAAACATCCCGAACAGCAGTGACTCAACTACCAACAGGACCGAGTGTATCCTACAAAAAGACATTAAATCTATGAATCAGTCCTTTTTAAGGGTAATTAAGTATCACAGTCAGTGAAGAACAACTATCAATGAAACAGCATAACTGTCAGTTTTTAAAGATTTCTTAAAGACTTGTCCCCAGCAGCATTTTCATAATTAACGTTTTTAATATAGTAAATGTTAATATTTAAGAGGTTATCATATTTTAGTGTTTTTCATGCTGAAAGTATTACGCTGAAACATGATTACACAGAAATGAAAGTGGATGTGAGAATCTATCATTGCATTACCGTAATTTGCCAAAACGTGATTATGCTGTCAAATTAAATTACACAAAATCCAGTTACATTTACAGTGTAGTCTACTTAATGAAAGATACTGTGAATTTCTATAATAATATACAACAAGTTAATTTATATAATGAATATATAATGATAAAAGAATAAGAAGAATTCAGTAAGAGATGAACAATGTACAGAAACATAATTATCATAAAAGTAAAAATACAAATAATAAATAAACATGTAAATTTATAAAGATTTTAAATTGAAGTTCTACAGTTCCATGTATAGAGAAACACTTTCAAGAATGTCCTACTTTATCAACAAATCGGTTATAACATTCTACTTTATCTACAACATCTGTTTCAACATTCTACTTCTATCTGCAAATCTGTTTTAACATTCTACTTTATCTGCAAATCTGTTTTAACATTCTACTTTATCTGCAACTGTTTTAACATACTTTATCTGCAAATCTGTTTCATTCTACATCTCAAATCTGTTTTAACATTCTATTTATCTGCAAATCTGTTTTAACATTCTACTTTATCAACAAATCTGTTATAACCCCCCACTTCAACTATTATGAACTACAATTACTTAGCTTCTATGTTATAAAATCCTATTTAAAAAATTATTTAAATTCAATTTTATCCAAGAACGACTTCAGATGTTTCGTCTGCCTCTTAACAGCAAGCATTCACAATATTTCAATTTACGATCAATTTGTCAATACACAGGGAGACAGAGTGAAAATCCATAGTTTCCCCTGACAGAAGATTACTGCATATTTGTAAATATTTGCAGGGGATTTGATTTTGCAACATATTTGCCGTCAAAACAGAAAGCATGAATTGAAGTACTGAGCAACATTTCTATAGTGTAAAAAATCTCAAAAGATATCTTTTGCAGGTATACAGAGACACCAAATCAAAGAGTTCCTCGGAACTGTATGTGTCGGCTGCATAAGGTGTCACAGTCACCGAGAAATTGAACTGGATGTGCAACGATCAACCATAAAATCGTAATACCAAATTTCATTTCTATAACTTGAAGCATAAAGGGAAAACTGTGCAAAGCAACATTCCTGAGAAATTTCCCAAGTTCAAAGGGGCATAACTCTGCCAAGAAGGGTCACAGACAGCCAGGAATCAAATTTCTTCTGTACCCTTGCAACAAGAAGCCACATACCAAATTTCATTTCGATAACTCAAAGCATAAGCCAAAAAAGTCCGGAAAACAATATTCCCAGGAAATTTTCTAAGTTGAAAGGGGCATAACTCTGCCAAAAAGGGTCAGAGACAGTCGGGAATCGACCTTAACCTGTACCCTTGCAACAATAAGCCATATGCCAAATTTCATTTTGATAACTCAAAGCATAAGCCAAAAAAGTCCGGAAAACAATATTCCCAGGAAATTTTCTAAGTTGAAAGGGGCATAACTCTGCCAAAAAGGGTCAGAGACAGTCGGGAATCGACCTTAACCTGTACCCTTGCAACAATAAGCCATATGCCAAATTTCATTTTGATAACTCAAAGCATTACCGAAAAAAGTCCTGAAAACTTTCGTACGAACGACGACATGTGACGACGGACAAAGTGATCCCTAAGTGTCCGCCAGCTCTGCAGGCGACACCATAAACTAGCCCGAAACAAGACAACAGCAAAATATTAGCCTTGTGAAAACAAACAATGGTACAGTATACAATAATATCACTGTTCCATGAAGGATTATCTTTTATAAAGTTTTAAAATTTACCAACTGATATACTAAAAATGGTTGAACATTATTCATAGACACAAATATTTCTTTTGAGCTGCCAATGAACACCATCTTCATAAATCATGTTTGGTGACAACTATGAAAGTAATTAAACTTTGTGTGTATTTCATCAGACCAAATCAGACTTTTACATTTGCACTAAAAGGAAATATATGCTAAAGTTTTAAGCCAATGAAACACTGTGACACTTGAAAAGAATGCAATAGGAAGTATAATGTTAAGAACATATTCTTTGTACACTCTTGGTAAACTTAAGATGATAATATACCAGTAGACCAATAGTTTATAATGCTGTGTTGGATCAAACAATATGTACTTTCATGGCACATGAACCACTTACCAATGTGTTGGGTGATGCCAGCTGTCAAGTAATAAACTTCCAAATGACGCAGAATTTTAAAGTAAAGGCAGTTTTGATCTATAAGTGAGTTCTTTCAAAATATTTTTATTTCTTGACCGTTTGTTCAATTTTGTTCAAACTCTTATTTAATTCACATTTTAAGTCACATATAGCAACATTGTTCCTGGTTTGCAAAAACATTCACATTCTTCACATTCTAAGAATTGCAGAATTCAATATGGACTGTGTGACCTTAGAACTGACATTGTTGTTCTTTTACACAATTTTTTGTTTTTCTTTTTAATAGTTTCTTTTATCAAATATTGGGTATTTGAATCATCAATTAATGCAGTATAAATGTCTCCTCTTGTAACATAATCATCTGTATCCCTGCCCCGTCTTGTAACATAATCACCTGTATCCCTGCCCCTTCTTGTAACATAATCATCTGTATCCCTGCCCCTTCTTGTAACATAATCATCTGTATCCCTGCCCCCTCTTGTAACATAATCATCTGTATCCCTGCCCCTTCTTGTAACATAATCACCTGTATCCCTGCCCTTCCTGCAATGTAATCACCTATATCCCCGCCCCCTTACAATAATATATTCATCTGGGTCCCCACTCCCTCCAGCATCCAGCAGTTTCTTCATCTGTATCCCTGCCCCCTCTCTCTGGTTATTATCTGTGCCATTCATTTCTCTATGTCTCCAACCCCCCCCCCACCCCCCATTCCCTACACACACTCAACCTCCTTACACTGTAGTCTCATTATCTACAGCCCTTCTAAACAGTTCTTTCTATCTTCTAGGAGACTACCTCTAGGAGACCCCACACAACACAATCCATATAAAACCAACCTACCACCTTCAGATAATTCCTTTCCATAACACATCAACTTAATGTTGTTTACTTAAATCAATACACATTCTGGAACACAAATATATGAGTTTTATATTTTATACTCAAAAGATTAAATACTCTGACAAACATTTGTCAATCATTCAGTGACTTTTTAAAGTTAACAAAAGATAAAACTGCAAACAAAAAAACACACATTTATTTTTGTGACTTTGGGAAAGTGAAAGAAGGCAAAACTTCTGTGAATACCTGACACATGATAAACTCCGGGTGGATACTTACAACTTCATATGTTTTCCATTGCCTTTTACTCCAGGATCCAGCATCCATGACACAATCACCATTGTAGTGGCATACGCGCTGAGGATACCTGTAAAATGAATGCCACACTGAGGATAGCAGTAAAATGAATGCCACACTGAGGATTGCAGTAAAATGAATGCCACACCAAGGATACCAACAAAATTAATGCCACACTGAAGATACCAACAAAATTAATGCCACACCAAGGATACCAACAAAATTAATGCCACACTGAGCATACCAACATAATTAATGCCACACCAAGGATACCAACAAAATTTTTTCCACACCAAGGATACTAACAAAATTAATGCCACACCAAGGATCCCAACAAAATTAATGCCACAATAAGGATACTAACAAAATTAATGCCACACCAAGGATACCAACAAAATTAATGCCACACTGAGCATACCAACAAAATTAATGCCACACCAAGGATAATGACAAAATTAATTCCACACCAAGGATACTGACAAAATTAATGCCACACCAAGGATACCAACAAAATTAATGCCACACTGAGCATACCAACAAAATTAATGCCACACCAAGGATACTGACAAAATTAATTCCACACCAAGGATACTGACAAAATTAATGCCACACCAAGGATAATGACAAAATTAATTCCACACCAAGGATACTGACAAAATTAATGCCACACCAAGGATACTGACAAAATTAATGCCACACCAAGGATACCAACAAAATAAATACTATAGTGAGCAAGGATATCTTAATCTGTTACAGAGGAGCAACAACAACAGCACTTACAACTATTTCAAATGTCAGATCAGTCAAAGTTTGTTTGCAATAATAAAAACTCAAGACCTTGTCCTACTAACGTACCTGTATTTCCTATTTAGAAAGATTGGTGTTTAACTAGAACACTGACATTTCAGCCAGGGCCCTGTCATATGGCTGTATATCCCCTCTTATTATCTAAAAGCCATATTTATTTTGCCCATATCAATGAAGTTGAAATAAGACACAATGGTTTGCTCGAACTCAAAATTATCATACAGCAAACAAATTGTCAAGTGGACAGAAACACATATCTCATTTATGCCTATCACCAGATGACTTTAACCTTTGGTCTGTTGACCTCTGGTTTCATAGCAACCTTGACCTCTGATCAGCTGACTTCTTGTTTAATTCCAACCAACTTTGCTTCAAGATGTCATAATCAAAAGATCATCAGTGGAAAGAAACACTGACCTTTGACCTTGTGTTTTGACCTTAGAATGTATTTCGTGAATTGAACATCTTGACCAAAAATGTAAATCAGTCAATAAATACTTAAATTATCAGCCAGGAACTACATCTGTGGACAGACGGATAGACGGACAGACAGAGTGGTTACAATAGGGTATCCATATCTCCAAAACAGGGCCCAGTCAAGGTATTGCAGTATTGCTTACAAATGCCAAACAACACACCATGATATAACACTTTTGGTCTTGGACCAGTAGAGGTGATAAAACACTGTTTTCAGATGCCCAGATTCAAAAATAAGTAACCAAAAAGTTAACAGACAACTGAGGGCATCATGGAATTATGTTCAGGATGTTAAACTCACCAACATAGAACAGGAACTGGATGAAATATTTCTGATTAAATTCACCAACACAATTGTTGATCCTACAAACAAGTAGAAAGGTGATTAATCAATTGAATTTCAAAATTGATATTTACTCTTAAACTCACACGGAAACTCTTTGTTATAACCTTAAGTGATGATCTGAATTCTTTTAATATTTAGTCTTTTTTCACAGGTTTGGAATGGAACCTTTTCATCTCTTTTTGCAAAGAAAATTTTGCACACTGGAAGGAATATTATCAGGAGTAAATTGTTAACTTTGTGAATTTGGCTTAAATTTACGTGAAATAATTTCAGTTTGGAAAGGGGCAAATTATCAGACCCCAAAATAACTAAAAGAAGCTTTTTAACAAATTAAAGGTCAGGGAAAAAACCCACATATTAATTAGAAAAAATTATTCAACTTCATGCATCAAAGGATTATTTCAGAATGTCTCTGCCTTACTCCACATGATATTGCATTTGTACTTAAACAGTGGAGCAGACATTGGCTGTTGGTATACAAACATGGCAGATGACATGTGTTTCCATGTACGTTTATTATCAATATGCTTCATTGATGTAACTGTGATATATTGATTACAGCAGATTTCGTGGGAATTCACTATTCCCCAAATTCATATATAGATGAAATGGTGGATTTTGTGAGTATTATTAATAAACAAAAATGTCAGGGAAATTTTTCTTTTTCAAATAATCATGGAAATAGACCATGAATGACACAAACATATATACAAAACTTGTAACGCCTTCAGCTGAAATCATTTATAGTAAATTATGTGTGCACAGTGCACATTTTTTTGCATGAATATGGTTTCTAAAAAAGTGATGCACACTATATATGCACAGTCTATGAATGTATTATTTAATACCAAGGACAATGGTGATCCATCCTCCGAATACATCGTCGACATATTCTACAATGGTGAGCTCTTGGTGGGCGATATGTTTCACACTTCATGCACACGGTCCAACCGTCTCTCTACAAAAACACAATGTTTAACATCTACTCATGCACCTGAATGGATTAACACAAACAGATATTCATCCAACTGTGACAGGATTTATATGTTTTTGGAAATACTGTCACCTTTTAAGCTTTGCACTAAAGGGACATTATATTTAGCTCAATCTGTATAGCGGTGGACTTGTAAGCCAAGAGTCATGGCTTTGATCCCTGACATAAGCACACTACTTCTTTTCTGTTACATTTGGCGTTACCAAGCTAGACACGTCATTGGTGCCATTAAACTTGGATTGATGTGGTGCTATGTTGCAAACACATTAAAAGGAAGGAATATAGTGTAGCATGTTTTAATTTCACAAAGGAATATGGATGCCGTCTAGCTTGGCACTAGATGGAATTCCATTTTAGGTTGGTTGGTACAGCCATGGACTCATAAATTTGATCCCTGACCTATATGCAAGCTTTTCCTTCCCTGCTAAACAATCAATGAATGACTGTTCCTTTGTTACCATAGGAAAATATAAAACAATTACTACAAAGATTTACAGGGAAATTTTTCGGAGTTAAAACAAAAATCACATCAGACTGTGACTTTTTTTTATGTAATTAAACTGAATGCCATTACTGCTGTCCACTTAGTCAGACAGCGATCAAGTGTACAGTTTACATGCCTTGCTATTGAAAGTTTTCTCACATCAAACCTCAAAATCTGTATCACATTAGTTATGACCTCGTCCACACTAATAATGAACATACCATATTTGGCATGGTTTTGCCAGCATGAAGATCTGAGAAATCAAGACCTGTTGTAGGCAGTGGTACTATGCCTGGGTCAGACAGTACTGCTCGCAAGTGAGACATGGTGAGCAGGAAAATGATGGTGTTGAATATTACCACATTCACCACTCCCCACAGCCTGTAACGTAAATAAAAATTCTGTGAAAAGTGAAATTGCTCTGAAAAGAAGATGTATTCATGGAGCAATATGCTGATCAAAGTACATTTATATGTGCATTACCATAACAAATTTTAGAAGTCTTTCCTGTGAAAGTCTGCTCCAACCCAACTGGTAATATAAGGCTAATGGACACATGGAGCTAATTTTAAGAACTAGAAATAAGAACTTTTGACTATTAACTCTAAACGATCAACAGGTCAATTTTCAACAAATAAATTAGTCACAAATAGAGGAGCTTACATGAGTTTCCATTCAGGTGAGACTTGTAAAATGTTGAGTCTTGGATAATTATAACTTTTCTTTTATAAACAAACAATATGCAACACAATTATTAGATTAATCTTCAACAACTCAACATGTATTTTCAGCATGTACATAGAACAGAATTTTAAAATATTATTGTTACCATCAGGTTGAGTCCATTGATTTATCACAATTATAGCGACATTTTAAACTTACTTGGGATGTTTCTAAACAACAACAACAACAACAACAACAACAGGCATTTGAAATTCTGGTTGTAAACTTGGGAATATAAATATATCATATCTAAAAAAATAAGGGCATCAAGTGCTACAGCAAAAAAAAGTATGGCGAATATTTGTCAACTTCATATCAGAATTTTACAACGTACATCCGAACACACGGAATTTAATTTTGACTCAAAACAAATAGAGCTACTCTTTAATTAACTCAACTCCAATAAAAAAAATAGTAGACATTGATGTACTCAAACAATGTTAGAGGTTTTACACGGCGAGAAATTTATGACAGGCGCCGTGTAACAATTGACGGCGTAATGTCAGATAATAAAACGGCCGTCCAGCGGCCTCTTATAGAAGTAGCACAGCTGCAAGTTTATAAACACGTATTGAAAGTTTCAAGTGTCACTTTTGTATTTGTGCATTTTCATCTTAAACCATATTGTGTTTCGCCAGTTTGGTATAGCTATAGATACTTATTATATCGACGTATAATAACAGCGATGAATCATCATGTGCCCGACCTGAGCATGTTCTTCCTTAATGGTTGTACGATCATGTGTGTCAACAGAAACTGAACAAATATTCTGATAATACAAATGAAAACTTCTACTGTTCATCCTCAAAACTATACTCACGTGTCCGACATTGTAGGGATGACAAGATGCCGGACGACGACATAATCTGCGTACAGCACTGCGGCATACGTTATGATCAAACATACTATACCACAGGGGTCCGACCTAAACACAGCCATTTTGACAGATCTGGAATCGGGCTGTAGTAATTCTCTACTTCTTATTGGTCATTTTTGCATCGGTGAAACCGGAAGTTGTATACTTCATGAGATGGATTTCCGTCCAATATTCCGTGAGAGTTTTTCACAGGTATTCTTAGTGGAATGATGATTTAATAGATTTACCCTCAGATGACACCAAGTGCCCTTAATTTATCTGTTTTCTAGACTTGTATGGGGTCCACGAGGATTTTTCACTCATGTCTTCAGCGGAAAGTAACACCGGTAAGTAATAACATGCAAAATGAAACTACAACTAGCAGTACCGTAATTTATCGAATTACTGTGCTGTTCTGTACTCTACCGTACTGTATTGTAAATGTCTGAGCCACATTACAAGTAGCGCACTGTCGAGTTTTCTATGAGTGGCACGGGAAGAGGGAGGGGATTGGGGTCATGTGTCATAGTTTAGATATATGTCGTGCTTTCAGATCTAAGAGAAACGGATTAATCGGGACTTGGTACCATCTGAAGAAGAAAGTCGTAAAGTTATTATAAGCATTAAGAGCAAAAAAAAACTGTATCATCTTTTGAATATGAAGTAATTTCAAGATCATCAGTCTTGAAATAATGATTTTAAGACTGATGATCTTGAAATTACACAGAGGGTTGGTTGCTTCCCCCTGTCTACCTGATGCTGCTGCTGAAGAGCCACTTGTGGAACCAACACCACCGTTGAGGAGATCATACCGTAACAGGAAAATGCCACAACGGTTTGACCAGTATGTGATGGAACAAATTGTAGGGGATGATTGGGTGCTGTTGTAAATGTACAAAGAACTTACCTCTTAAAACATATTTGTGAATACACGTATCCACAAATATGTTTTAAGAGGTAAGTTTGCAAAATTAGATATTTGTGAAATCTAAGTAATCAGATGATGAGCTTCTCTGGCAATCCTTCTTCTGTTGTACGGCAACTGCCTTGAAAGAATTCTTGTTGATACAACAGTATTTCTGTAGAAGCACTGAAATATCACTTTAGAATTTTATATGTAGGTTCACATTGGTCCCTAGGGTTTTGCATTGCCCATTTTGAGACTGATCGAAAAAACAAGATGGCAGACGAGTGGTCATCTTTATTTTTGACATACAGTCAAAGTTTGTTACAAATGTTTCTGGAGAGATGCTTAATTGATCATTGTCAAATTCCATATTGAAGATTTGCCTTGGTCATTTTGGGAGTGATCAGAAAAATAAATGGGAAACAGGCTTTTTTGACAGTCTTAATGTTGTTAACAAAAAGAATGTTGTCTGAAATGCTGGTTCTTGGAAAGACGTTTTTCGCATGTGTGACTTTTGTACGATCCACTGTTGTGTTTATTTCACAGGCACAGATGTTGTGTCGTTCTCCTATATTGGGGAGCTCAGTCTCTGGTTCTTGATCATTGTTGCTGTGGTAACAATTCTCGTGGTTCCTGCTGTTGTTGTGATGTCCACCAGACAAACATGTCACAGGGAGGACATATCTCTACGAGTAAGTATTGATCTATTACGAGTATTTTTTTGTGTGGAAAATGGCGTTAAAATAAGTTTAAAAAGTCATCGTAGTAGAAGTGAACTCAACATCAACCAGATTCAAAAAGTTAAGTAGGTGGAATGCTTTTATTCTCGTTGACTGGTCAGGTCCTGAAGAGCCGTAACTGGCGAAACCGGTTGGCAAGAATAAAAGTATTCCACCTACTTAACCTTTTGAAGCTGGTTGATGTTGAGTTCACCTCTACTACGATGTTTTAATTACATTATTAAGTGACTCCCTACACACCTTTCGGTATCCATCCTCCAGTGATCTACCAACCTGAGGATCCTATCTTACTTACTGGACCAGCGTTGGCTCCATCCCCATTTTTAAGTTTAAAAAATACATTTTAAAGGCCATCATATATGTGTCAAATCTCAAATACTTTTTCTCAACATGTACATCTGTGAAAATTCTGCATACAAAGACCTCATCCATTGTCATACCTGCCAACTTTCCCAGTTCAGTCTGGAGTTCCTGATTTTCACTCCCGTTCCCATCTCCTGATTGTACAGATCCAAATTGGGTTAATCTGTTTTCCGAGATCCTGCTGGGTAGGTCATAAGTAATCTTGTTGTGTTTGCCAAATAGGAACAGTAACAAGTAAGATTGACCACCTGTCTACAGAATCGAGGCCTAACCATGTCAGTACACTGCCTAATTTCTAATTAGCGTTACCTAAGTTAATCATCGCTGAACACTATGCTTGGGAGCACACATACAGCTAACCCAATTAACGGTAGATCATTAGTCTGGACTCCTGAGCGGGCTCTGACAAATAGTCAGCTGAGGTCATTACACAGATTATTAATAAGTTCTTACTATTTTCATAGTACCTATTTCTCTAAATAACAAATAACGGCTGTTCAGATTATGCACTGCGTAGTTGTGCAGAGTATGTAAATTTGTCAGCAATTTTGTATGACGTCACATGAAAATAACCAAATGTTTACTTACCTGACCCAAAAGGGCAAGTCTGTCTGTCAGCTTTTCCTTCAATTTGGTACTAGTGATGAATAATGGATGAAGCTGACTTCCATTTAATTTTTGTCAGTAGCATCCTTAGACCCAAGTTTGTATATATGATGGGTTTGACCCCAACCTTCCTCCTGGGCATGGGTCGAGATGGGGACCAATAGACAAGATAGAGAAAATAATTTCCAATCCTTTGTCCTATAAAATAATATAAGGATTCTGTCCCAATTTGGTCTGAATTATATCCTAGCAGAAAGGATACATTAGTGTTAATAGTTTGGCTAACCCTGTAGGGTTATAGGGGTGGTACCCAATGGTAGAATAGATACATTTATCCATTTTATTGATATCGGCATACATGCGCTGGATATTGTTAACAGTTATGAAACTTTGTAAGTACCAGCTGCTTGAAGAGCATGGTGGGAAGGTCTACTTTTATCTAACAAAGTTGGTGTCTTTGTTAATTCTCTAGAAAAATAGCTAACTGACATTGGAAACCATGTTGGAACATAGCAACCTCTTCATTTCAAGTGTACAATGTTTTGAAAGATATATGTGAAATGAAACTAGAAACAACATATTGGTATTAAATAGTGCTTGCTGAACTCTTATCATTACTAGCTCATGTCAATATCATTTAACATCCTGTTTATATCTGTGGTCATATAATCGTATTGATAATTTTCTGGTATTTATGTTTATACTACACTTTTAGCCAAAGTTACCAATCGACAGACGTCAGAAATCTTCAGAAAGGAGTTCTCCAAGTTCGATTCCAGCAACTGCTTCAGAGTGATATGAAGACATGTCAAAATTTTCTGGTACCAGCCACAATTTCATATTTGTACCCAGAAACAACAAGAATCAGACCTTGTAAGCTGTAATGGAGATTATTCCAGAAAGTATCTAAAAGAATTTATAGTAGACTTGGTAATAATTGAATGCCATCCACCAATGTGTTGGAGAATTGATCTTAATAATTCAACTGTAAAAAATGTTTGAAAATATTTGTAGGCCATTGTAGACGGCTGTTGTCTTCATCCTGAAAAGCAGCGTTTAGATATCAAGATGGCTGACAACAGAAATAATTATCTTTCAGATGGGCAAAACAACTGTTTGCTAGCCCAGGCAAGGATTTAATTACCAATCATATGACATTATGATTTACACCATTCTCACACCACTATCAGATGGGGAAGATATATATTATCATAGACAAACAAATAGTTTACTTAATTTTGTCTTCTACTTACACCATATACCTACATAAAGCTTGTGATTAAAGATTTAAAAGTATGCAAACTCAAAAGCAGATTTTAAATTGAAATATCTGAAATTGCAATAAAAATTAGCTTGAAAATTTCACAAACTAATTACCTGATATTAATTCTATAAAATTGTTAAATCAAGATATCTTAATATGAATAAGATGTGAATATAAAGTAAAGAGCTGTAATGTATATTGTGGTAATTATTTCCTTTAAAAAAATTTTACAAATTAACTTGCTTTATGTTATATAAGAAATAATATCACTTGGAAACCTTTTAGAATTGTGTAATGTCAGTAAAAGGCATTATGTTATTCTGTACGTCTTTCGCATAAATCAATAGGCCGTTCGTTACAAGTCAAATCGACAAGTTACAAATGAATTTAGTGAATGTTAAGATAAATATTGGAAAATCAGTATTACAAAGTACTTGTTTACATATCATATTAAAACTTGTCAACGTCAGTTAGAGGCCTTTACATTATAATGTATATGGTGGTAATTATTTCAGAACTGTGTGCCCATTTGGAATAGTCTGCCAGAAAACGTTGTTTCAGCTGTAAATATTAAATCATTTAAAAATAGGCTTGATAATTACTGGAAAAATCAAGAATGTTTCTTTAATTACAAAGCAACAATCGAATATTGACATCAAAGTACAAGACCGGATCGATGTTTTGAAAAATTATGTATTATTTGTTGTGTATGAGTCTGGTATAGAGGACTTAAATAAAGTCCTGTACTAGAATAAACTTATCTTATCTTAAGAATAATATGTTTATTTTAAAAGATCGTGTTATAGATGTTACAAATCTTCATGAATGTGCTACCTAACTACTTCCAAAATCATGTTATTTATTTTTTTCCTACTACATATATAAATATGACTGCTTGGTCAATTTTTTGGGAATATGACTAAGTATTTTTATTCTATAGGACATCACACTGTTGCTGTTAAATAACTTTGTTGCGATCATTAGAAGTAGGATATTTTACATATATAAGAAATTACCTACATTGTATATATAAAGTGATTATTCCCTATTTCCCATTTAATGTCAATTGAAGATTGTTTCTACACAAGATGTGGTCACTTCAGAATATAGTGCTATCACACCGCAGCGGCAGAAATATTGTATGTAAACTAGACACAATAACAGAACACATTATTTAGCTGACTAGTACTTCCCACTATAACC